TACGTAAGAACTCGGAAGGATAGGGACACACGTCGTTGCCTTTTCGTCGTTTCTGCCTACGCTCCCACTGACTGCAGCTCAGATGAAGTGAAAGATGAATTTTACAGAAAGCTTTCTGAACTTCTTCAGAAAGCTAAACGCTCAGACATAGTCCTCGTAGGGGGTGACTTTAATGCTCAGATATGTAGCTTAAACCAAAGAGAAAGGCATTTAGGTGGATATTTTAGCATTCCGGCACAGCGAACAGATAATGGTGATCGTCTGCTGCAACTGTGCTCAGACAATCGTTTATTTTTAGCAAACACAAATTTTAAGCATAAGGAGAGACATCGTCTAACGTGGCGACCGCCTGCACCAAGCCAACGATGGACTCAAATAGACCATATTGCCATCAGTCATCGTTGGAGAGGGTCGGTACAAGATTGTCGCTCATTCTGGAGTACCTGCTTGAACTCCGACCATGCCCTAATACGGACACGCATCTGCTTGCGCCTCACTGGACGCAAATAAGCCACAGTAAAAAGACCCATTAGAACTGAATTGAGTAGCTAGAAAACCAAAAGTAGGCTCCAGGAACAACTGATGTCACGATTAGGTAGTTCTGAAAACGAGGCTGACCCAGATGTTGCTTGGAAAGATATACAAGCAGCTGTGGAAGCAGCAGTGACATCTATTAGCGACTTAAACCACAGAGTTTCAAAGAACCAGTGGATTTCTTCGAAGTCTATCACACTGATGGATTCTCGCAAACTCATCCCATCAGGCTCTGAACACGATGAAGAGCAACAACAAATTAGATCTAGGTTAACCAAAAGTCTAAGAAACGACCATGAGCAGTGGTGGGCAACGAAAGCAAAAGAGATGGAAAAGGTGGCGACTATAGGGAACACAAGACAGCTCTACAGACTAATAAAAGAAACTGGAATTAATAAGTCAAGTGTAAGTCAGACTATTTCGGAAAAAGACGATACTCATCTGCTCCCAGTCCAGACGTTTAGAACGATGGGCGGAACATTTCAGAGAACAGTTCAACTGGCCTTCAGCTACTCTACAACTACCCTCCATTCCCAGACAGTGTGAATGGAACATTGAAGTAGGTTCCCCAACTCTAGCAGAAGTTCAAAAGGCTATAGTTAATCTGAAACGAGGAAGGGCAGATGGATTGTCTCCAGAGGTCTTTAAGGATGGTGGTCCAAGTTTAGCGATTAGGTTGACGAATATTTTAACTAAGATCTGGGAGTTAGACGTTATCCCATCTGACTGGTCACAATCACTTATCGTCCCAATATATAAGAGAGGGTCAAAATCATCCTGTAACAACCACAGAGGGATTAGTTTAACTAATATAGTATCTAAAATACTAGCCTCGATAATTATCAGACGCTTAACTAGGACTCGTGAACTGCAAACACGAGAGAATCAAGCTGGCTTCAGACCTGGTCCTGGCTGCATCGACCACATATTCACCATTCGTCAGGTTCTAGAACACAGACATACTTATCGGCGTCCGACAATGGTGGTCTTTCTTGATTTAAAAGCAGCATTTGACTCGGTAGACCAAGAGGTTCTGTAGCAGTGTCTGTCATTGAAAAGCGCACCACAGAAGTACATAAACCTTGTGAAGGCTCTTTACTCGAACACTACTAGTCGAGTCAGAGCTTATGGCGAACTTTCATCTGCTTTTGCAACCTCAAGTGGTGTCCGTCAAGGCTGTCCACTTTCTCCATTTTTGTTTAACTTCATCATAGACTTATTGATGGAAATAACATTCTCGTCTACTGAATTCTCGGGTGTTGATCTTCCAGCAGGTCCACTTATCGACTTAGAATACGCGGATGACATAGTCCTGTTTGGTGAAGACGCTGATAAAATGCTGAGTCTTTTGGTAGCACTGAGCAACAATGCCAGAATGTTTGGGATGCGCTTCTCTCCCTCTAAATGCAAGTTGTTGCTTCAGGACTGGTGTGCGTCAACACCCGAACTAAGGATAGGGAGTGAAGTAGTTGAACGCGTTGACAACTTTACTTAACTTGGAAGTCTGATCAGCCCTAATGGGTTGGTGTCTGACGAAATCTCAGCACGGATTCGAAAAGCTCGCTTGGCTTTTGCCAACTTACGTCACCTTTGGCGAAGGCGAGATATCCGTCTATCAATAAAAGGACGAGTATACTGCGCGGCAGTCCGTTCTATTCTACTTTACGGCTGCAAAACATGGCCACTAAGAGCAGAAGATATTCGTAAGCTACAGGTATTTGATTACAGATGCCTTAGAAATATTACTTGGGTCTGTTGGGATCACTGGGTAAGTAATAGTCAGATTAGACGCAGGGTATTAGGGAATGATGGTAGATCAGTTGATGAGGTTATGAATCTTCATCGACTGAGATGGTTGGGCCAGGTGTTACGTATGCCTGAACACCGAATACCACGACGTGCAATGCTATCCGGTATTGGAAATGGTTGGAAGAAAGTTAGGGGCGGCCAAACCAAAACGTGGCATCAGAGCTTGAAGTCACTAACTTCTAGTCTGAGCCATGTTGGTAGATGCAGACTACTTGGTTGGAGTCCGCCTGACTATCGTAACGAATGTTTGGAGACTCTGGGTGACATGGCTCCGAATCGATCACAATGGCGTAGGTGTATACACTCTGTCTTCCCTTAAACTAAGAGATTAAAATCGCTTCATACCTTTCTTTCTACGAACCTTTTATTTCTTGTACTATATCTCTATATGCAATCTTTCTTTTATGCATTACCACCTTTGACCTAACCACTGCTATGAATCCGGTGTTCATCTTTTTGTGCTGATGCGGTATGGCAACCTGGACCGATGCACATATGTGCCTGGTCCTACGTTGTAGCTGACTGACTGACTGACGTGCGATGTTCAGTGATATAGGAGTAGGTTGGAAGACAGCTAGGGGCGGCCAGACCAAAACATGGCACAAGTTCATGAGTCACTGACAAGTGCACTGGGTCATGTTGGTAGGTGTAGACTACCTGGTTGGGGACCGCAAGATGATAGCAACCGATGGTTAGAGACCCTGAATGACATGGCTCAAAATCGTTTGCTATGGCGCAGGTGCATCCACTCTTTGTGTTCTCCCAAATTCTAATCTTCTGAATTCTTCATGTCCCTTTCTTTCTTCTCTTTCCAAATTTATTTCACTGTATTATACTCCGTGAATAACATCTTCAAGCTCTAATGTTTCAGATTACTGCTTATACTATTACTACCTCTACCATGACGGAATTTGAGTCGACAACTGCATCTCTGTGCTAATGTGGTGTGGCGACTCGAACTGATGTACGTACGTACGAAGTTTTACGTTGTTACTGACTAACTGACTGATTGTATTCCGTGTTCCCTCTCAGACGACAAGGTCTTCATAATCCAGTCAACCACCAGAAGAAACAGAAAGGGAGGGAGTAAGCAGTCTTGTCTGACTCTGGTCTTCACTTGGAATGTATCTTTCAGCTGTCTTCCATGGACTAATTTGCACTATAGTCCGTCGTATGAATTCCGGATCATGTTGACAATCTTCTCATGAACTCCATAGTGTCGAAAACGTTTCCATTATGTTCTCCTGTCCACCCTGTCAAACGCCTTCTTATAATCAATGGAGTTGACGTAAAGTGACGGATTCCATTCGATTGATTGTTCAACGATGATCAGTAGTGTTGCGATTCGGTTTCTGCACGACTGATCCGTACGGAATCCAGCCTGTCGATCTCGAAGTTGGGTGTCTACTGAGTCTTTCATTTGGTTCAGCAACACCTTGTACAGCATTAGAACAAATCTGTGTCAGTACTTTCCTCTTCGTGACCGGAGTACGAAGCATCTCTCTCGCACCTAGTTTTTGCTGTCCATCTTCGGTCCCATAGGTTTCACTGATTCCGAGAATCGCCAGGTTGTATGTCCTTATTTTCACAACTATTTTATTGCTTCTCCCGGTCTCCCACATTGTCCTGAAGGTCCATCTACCTACTGACATTCCAAAACATTTGAGATTTAGTACACATATAAAGTCTGCCACATTACTTCACCTTCGGAAATTCAACATGTAACTCATTTACCATACAGAGGTTAACGTATCAAATTATATATGTGGCAAATTTAGAATCCATGACTTATTAGTTAGGAGCCAGGTGTTTTAAACAAAGCTTCATAGTTAACACCCGGAAAACACTCAGGAAAGGCTCTCAAACACGTAACTGCTTTGAAACCTAAAAAAGCATATTTTTGTTTGAAGCTCAGTAACGATAACGTAATCAGTGTGTCAATCTAGGTTTACTTGTTTTGTATATTGGGCATGTTTTATGGATGTGGTCCCAGATGCTTTTACGTCGCGCATTATTTGCTAGCCCTGGACTAAGTGGAAAACGTAGAGAGTTGACAATTTTATGACAGCTATAGATGACTGGATTGTAGCTGGTCATCAAGACCCAGTGATTCAAAATCTTACAGAATACAGGAGTTAGCAAATTAATACACCTTCAGACGTGGAGTAAAATAAAAGCTAATATCGGTCTTTTTGTAGCTTTTGTGGAACGTCGCGTAAAAGATGGAATCCCAGCTTTTAAACATAACAATTGTTTTTCATATTTATTTATTTGTTATACGACAATTTGCTTTTTCACTTCACAACAATTTACATCCTGTTCAGGGTATTTTTATGAACCTGTGCTGTACCAAAATATTTTTCTTAGAAATAAAGGAAAATGACACTGACAATCGCGAGGGAGAAAAACTGCAACTACTTAAAGAAAGTATACTGTCGGCAGATCACCAAAGAAAATAATTAAACTATGAACTAACTTATTTAACGAATATAAGTTTGTGAATCTAGTTTTCTTCATATGTACCAGTTTTACGTACATTTAATATTCATAACAAACCTATGTTAAAACATAAGTGAAGCTGTGAATCAACAACTCAAAGTATAATAGAATATATGCAATAATTAATTGTCTGTACATAATATCTTAGGTAAAATGGATTAATCGTGTTGGTCTTCATCCTCTCCAGGGCATTGTTCTAAAAGTTCAGATTGATTTTGGTACTGCAGGCTACACCAAAAGCAATAATTATGTCGACTTCGTAAATAATTCAAAAGTTGTATGAAATTTCTTTGGACCTATAAAATCAAAATAATAGTTAATCTTGAATGATGCAGAGTGCGATAGTATAACTGTTCTGACTTGTGACTAATATCTGCTCTGCATTATTATTCAAGGAAATTTTTTTCTTACAGCAATAGACTTGAGTTTCCACGCAAGAAAAATACACTTCAGTTATCCTTTGATTCAGTATTCAGTGAATGAGTGGTACAACACAAATGTACAGTATGGTTATCATGGGTAAATAAAATAGAGAAAGAAACTACATATACTTACAGAAGTGTAGTCACAATTCGCATGTTTCGAGTCCAGTTTGGCTAAATCATTATCTGCAAAATCTTCGTTCACATAATCTTCCTGAGGCAATACATTACTTACAGGAATTCTGTCTTTAACAGACTTAAAACCATTCGAAGTGACTGATCCATATTTACCATTATCAGCGACCTCAGTTGGAACAAGATCAATAGGTGGCCAGAATGATTCGTGAACTGGAGTTTCAATAAGTTCTTTTAAATCCAGATCCTGACATATCCGACGGGCAACATCCAGTTGTCGGTTCAAACGGTTCTGTCGAAATCTCACGGCCATAGTGCTTCGGAATTCATCTTTGTAAGCCATTTGTATTTTTCGTTTGAGGTTTTCCCTAAATATCATACGTTCGTTTTTTTCAGACGCGAAACCGAGGCCTTCACGACCCTGAGGGATTTCAATAGAAACAGGATCAGCTATCCCAGTAGCTAAAATTTACAAAAATTTATAGGAACAGAGAGTGAAAAAGATGTTTCTATTTGTAGACGTAAAGCACCATTTACTTTCCCATTAGCTTAGTTCCTGCATTGTTGAATACAGTAACAAGATATTCAAAAATTAATCTTTAATGGTCAAAAAAACTAAATGTGTAAGCGAATAAGGCTTAATGAATTTGTATAATCCCGTGAACTAGTTTTATTCGCACGTAGCATTGTACATCCTTCAAACTCAAAGATATAGATTTGTGCTATCACGTTTCTACATTTCTACCCGTTTATTTAAAATAACCTTTCAATTTACACTGATACGTACATAAAGAATATAAATAATAAGATTCGATATTTATTAATTCCCTATGACAAAAGTATTGTTTTGGATGAAAGTGGAGGAAGCGATTTAGAGGGTATAATGAAATGTAATTAGTATTCCATAAAAATAAAATGAACCACTTTTATGATTATGAATAGCTCTTGTTTACGGCTGACTACGTAGTTTTGAATATATTTATCAGAAACAAAGTAGATACTTTTGAATTTGTTATTTTTTGACAAAAACTTTACTGTCAAAAGCCAATTCATCGCACATGGGTGCTTGTAGTCTGGTCTACCAAAATCCTATATTCCATACTCTGTAAGGCAAAGTATCTTTAGCAAAACTTTCATAAGTTAATTTTATCAGGACATTACCACTGGTTGTTACTTGCTTACGACTGATTGACTAGAAATTTTCAGTAATATCTCACGCTATAACTTAGCGCAAAATGTGTTACTGCGATGATCCAAGTAATTTCAAGTTATGAAAACAAGGGAGTGTGAAACTGTTGTATGTTACATACCATTTTTTCCCAAACCTTTACCCGGAACGTATCCCATTTTTGAAAGTAGACTGAAACCTTTATTTTCAGGCCCAACCTTTTTCTTTAAACCTTCCTTGAGGTGATGGATTTCCCTTTCCGACTTGGAAAGACATTTGTTTTTCCGTCGATTCGCCTCCACTGTACGCTGTCGTTGGGCATCTCGTGATATAAATAATCCCGGTTTTACATCTTCTCTAAAAATTTATGAAGTGAGAGTAAAACCTTACATTTCATTCAAAATGGCATCAGACATGTAGTCAACTTCATCATCCATCTCGACACTTCCAAATTATATTTATATTTGACAAACCGAAGTCATCACCATCTAGAATTGAGGCCGAAAATAAAATTCTATCATGGACAAGAAAAAAAAGTGATTATATATAGATACTTGAAAGTCACATTTAGTGGAAATCATATCTTGAAGGAATTTATTAAAAATGTGACATTTATACAGTATAAAAAGTTCTAAGGCCTTTACCGTATGCTTCACTTAGGTGGTTTTTATTAGAGCTGCGTGAACTAATCGCTTAGTAAGTTCTTATAACAATATTCGAATATTAATTGGTCCTTATCAATGGTGTACAAAAATGATCAGGGAATGAAGGAATTTAAATTTATTACAAATCTCCATCGAATACCCACATTTAAGCCATTAGTGAACACGCTTATAAAACCGCAGTACGATGGATGTTGAGAAAATACTTTGTCGTGTTTTTCGACAACAATCCAACATATCAAAACGAAAAATGCATCGTAGTTGTTACATTCAATAATAGCATAGAGAAGAGATGAAATGATGGTGTACAGTAGAAAGTGGCCAATATTTATGTAAGTTATATAGTTCCCCTCTCGGAGTTGAGGATGTTAAGCGACTCTGTGTTTGATCACTGCTGTCCCAAAACGATTGCTGACGCTGAATGGCAACGCTGCTAGTAATGGGGAGGTTTGACGTGTGTTCAGGCACAATTACAAGGATTCGAGTGGTTTCACGATCGTGACACACTCCACATCGTTATTATTTGCCGACACAAACTGATTGAAAAAGCGCAAAAGTGATCAATGTATGACATGATGTTGTGGCATGAAAGCTGCGCAAAACTGGCATCTATCGTGCCTTGACAACTACGTAATGGCTTAAGATGTTATTAGACGCAACTTATAATAGAAGCCGATGGAATCCATGATAGTTTTTTGACTATCGTCGCATAAATGGGGACTCGAACTCAAAGAATCCCTCCGGGTATTTTTGTGTGAACTGGTTCTCCTATCTTTTCTTACATTCCCAAGTTTTTATATATTTTTGTGCTGTTTTTATTGTATGGCGTATATATATATATACTAGTGCTCCATTACAAAAACATTTCTTCAGACAAATGACGCGGTTGGTGCAGCATTTTCGTAACTCATATTGTTACAAATCAAATACAATGCCTTGGTGATCATGCGTTACATTATTCATCACAGTTTCGCCAAGGCAAATTAAGAACAATTGACTCCGAATACATAAACCTAGGGTAAGTAACTACTACAGTATGAACTTCCTTATATAATTTACTAAATTTGGTCCATACTGGTTACAGTTGTAGCTCTATAGAAATGTTCGAACACTGATTGGAGGTATCGGGACTTAGAGTATAGACATCGGGGATGTCACCCTATCCGAAAGCTTAACCATTGAGTAGAGATCAAACTGTCACACGAAGCAGCGCTTTTTATTTTAATCAATTTATCGACTCTGCTTTTCAAAGTGAAACCTTGTTCCCACTCTCTCAGGTTTAACTACTGCTCAAATGGTTGTGGACGAAATAGAAGCTTATGCTTAACTGACTTGCGTATCTAGCAGTAGTGGATCACCATCGAACTGGAGTACATTTAAATGTCAGAAAAGATTTGCAGATTATAACGAAACATAAATAAGTCTTTAGAAATATATCAAACTCTTCTCTCGAAAGACTCATGGAATGCTGTTTCGACCACAACAGATGGCACACAAGACAGCATGTAACTAAATCTCAGATAGCTGTGTTGTGTCAAACCTCTAAAAGGCGCTACTAAAGTTCGTATTAAGATTGCGAAAGAGCAAGCCCACGAAGTTCTCGAAAACCAGTGGAGAATTCCAGGATTAGCGACAAAAGTCGAAAACTTTGATATGCTTCGTGATCATTTCTACTTTTAAAAAATATAAATCACAAGACAACTAGATATCGCTAGAAATATCAAACGTTAAAGGTTTTGTCCCTGAGTTTCAACTTATTGTAATCAGACATAGAAACGTGAAAACCCTAGATTTTATAAAGACCCAAGCAACCAATAAAGTAGTAATAAAGAGGAAGTGGACGAAAGCATAGAGGTAAGGAAAAGTCTGTTTTTCTTCTTTCAACAGTTATTTAGGTGAAGGCCGATATCCTCCCCTGACGTCATGTATTTTAAGGAAATTCGCAGACAAATACATGCAACGCACTGCACTTGAATGTGCCGCTTCCCGTACTTAAATTTTCATTGAACTATACAAAATAACGTGCTGTTTAATAAAACACCAAACCAACTATCATTAAGACATGTAAGAAAATGCGGACACAGGGATTTTTCTTAGATGCATATATCCGATCCTTGTTTTTTGTTTATCTAAATTGTTATGACATGTTTGGATGTCATCACATATAGTTTACGAAATGCGGGTGACTGGCATGCCCTCTGTTTTTTATGTTCATCATCATCTATTATCCAGTTTGTCCAATAAGATGAATTCCTTTGAAGTCAGCGAGAGAGCTCGTAGATGTAAAGCAGCTGTGGACCTGTCAAGCGTCCTTGGTTGTTATGCCTCTACTTATAACAGACTTTAGAATGAAATAAGAACAGCTTTCGTGGAAAGAAAATGGTGAGGCTCTAGTTTTTGAGCAACTTCAAAGTGACCTCGAGAGTGTCCACTTAATAACCAGGACCAAATGAGTGTTATGAACGTGTGTGAGGATTTAGAATTATAATTTACATTTGATGACTAATCTTAGGAATTAGGTTTCAATTTTTCATGACGAACTGACATCAGCTGCAATGCTAAGACTCTCTATCAAAAATGGATGAATGAGTTTTGCGTCAAAGTCAAAGACCTGTTGTCTAAGATCTGATTGGTTCGTCCATAAATTATAGTCTCACCCTTCTAGATGATTATGGTGCCTGTAAGAAGTGAATTCGTTTATACATTTCTTTCAGGATAATATGACGTTAATTTGTGCTCTTGGAAGTTTGTAAAACTTAAAGAGCAGATCAAGAAGATATTTATGAATTTAATGACAAAAACCTGTCTGAGCATCAGATATGCTTATTGGGTTCTGAATGATTTCCGAATTTCTGTTCCGGACTTACCGAGTACCATCATAAGTGTTCTGTAGATGTACACTAGTGTCCAACTGAATTTCATAAGCCGTGGTGTTTTCTACTATCTTGGATTTAAAACCAATCTGCTAAGATATGTTAAACTTTGGTAATGTACTTGGAATCTTTATGCCTTCGATTTGTATATTAGCGTGGATGAACTTTCTATTTAAAGCATTTCGAGTCATTTTTTATGGCCTGTATTTGGTAGCATCGTCGCCCCAATATTTAGTGACCTGTTCACGATAGGTATTTATGGAGTAATACTACGCCGGTAGAATTCAACAAAATATCCTATAGTATTCTAATTATAGTATGAATTAGGAATTCCAGGATTAACGCAATTGAATTAAGAAGACACAGGCACCAACGAATGTATTGTATTTAGAATTCGAAATCAAACATTCAACCAGTACAAAGGTATCATTAGTCCATTCAAACACCACATCCGCCACAGCTTAAATAGAAGTATAAGTGTTTGTAATCGGTTGTACGTCTTCTTGTTAAGTTCATCCTGAGTCTGTCCGACATTGTATAAGTTAAAAACTTTGTAGTATCTAGAATTGTATACAATTAGCATATCGGTTTTGTACTTAAATCATTAATATCTAGAATTTGAACCATAGATTTTTCAACCCTATCCTCCCCCACGAAATAATGTTGGATCTTTATATCCCCAAGTTATGAATAATGTGGCTTCATTTAAAACATATTTCTCACATTGTTTAGAGTAAACATTAGAACTGTTTTTGTGATAAGGGTAAACAGCAGTTGATAAGAAATCATCCGAAATGTAATAAAACTCGAGGTCACTTAGTACTCGCATTGAGCAGGTTTCTCACAAGGATAAATTGCATTATGAGGATAGGTAATATGTGACATGACATCAGGATTTGATTCTTCTGAAATATTCTCATGAAATTCTTATGGACTGTCATTGCAGAGCGTAGGATCGTTAGAAAAACCAGCATCTATCCAAACCACATCAGGTTTTCGATCATGATTAGGTTCATTTAACATATTTTCCTCAATATTGCAAGTAATTTCATTCGAAATATGTGAATCATTAGGAAAAGTCAAACCTGGTACAATAGCATGAGAATTCTGATGAATCGGTTGATTAGGAACTGTTGTCTCACAAGAATTCTGGATTTCATTTAACTCTGAACTGCCATATGACTCTGCACTGTCTTTTGAAATCGTTGATAAAGATAAAAGATCATTAGAAACATCCGAATTATTTAAATTTAAATTACAAGATTTAGTGCAGCTTGAAGCAAAATGGACAATAGCTTTGCATACTAACTGAATGTGTCCTACCTTACCACATTTAAAGCATTTAACATTACGAAATACACATGGGTTGCGAGCATGAAACTTTCCACATGATAAACATTTACCAAACTTCATCTCACCTTTGTGATTTGCTTTGTAATTCCTCGTTGAAACACCTTTCATATTTACACGAGAATAGGAATCACTGTTAAATGAACGCAAGTTTGATTGACCCTGAGATTGTGGTTCATCAGGATGACTAAGCAAAGTATCAGAAATCTTCATCGACTGGATATCAAGTTCATTGACTGCTTCGTAGTTAATACACGCAGTTCTAGCATCTTGAAAGGAACAGTTTGGCATTTTTAACAGCTCTCTTTCCAAACTCGGTATGTTAATTCCTGCAATTAATCGATCTCTCAGTTGTACATGAAGTTGATCACCGAAATTACACTTGGCAGCTTGTTTCTGTAATTCAAGGATGAATTCCCGAGCCTTTTGGTCATTTCGACGAACCATCTTATGAAACTTCGCCCTTTCACTGCATTCCAAACTGGTGCATTTTACATGACTTAATAATAGCTCTTTAAGAGTTGCATAAGGGAGTGAGATAGGTTTTTCTGG